TATTCAGGGGTCTTGTTGTAGAAAAAGAGCTGCCGGAGCTCATTAGCATAACTCATTAGCATAACTTATTTGCATATGCCACGCCCCCTGACATCACCGGAAGTGACAGAAGGCCACACCCCCTGACATCACCGGAAGTGTGTCAGAAGGCCCGGCTACTTACCCTCCTGCTTCATCCTCATTCCCAAACGGAATGAGGATCGAAGCAGAGGGCGGGGTAAAGAAGGGGGCGGGGCTTCACCACGTGACCGCCCCGCCCACTAGAGTTTCTCTTCCGGAGCTCCGTACCTGAGAGCTCCCCCCCGACTAGAGCCCTGGGTAGGTTCATATGGGAGTAGGTGTTCCTTAAGGATATGAGAATATCAAAGAAATATTTTTTTTGGTTTTCTTGCTGGAAGGATTCAGCAATGAGCTGAGCATGAATATGCTAAAGCAGCAAGCAGTTCTTTGATCAGTATTTTGGGTTGACAAGGGAAGGAGTCTGTCTCCAGTCACCTACATGTCCATAGGTTCTTAGAGGTGTGTGTGATCTTTTCAGTCCTCATGTCATTTAAATTTCTTGCTACTAGGTTCCCCTTTTGAACCCATAGTGAGGCTTTAACCTGTAAAAATAATACTATTGTAGCTATATCATTTTGGCTAGGAGGGTTTCTGAATTGAATGTAGAATCATAGAATCACAGAGTTGGAAGGGGCCATACAGGCCATCTAGTTCAACCCCGTGCTTAATGCAGGATCAGCCTAGAGCATTCCTGACAAGTATTTGTCCAGCTGCTGCTTAAAGACTACCAGTGAGAGGGAACTCACTTCCTCCCTAGGCAGCTGATTCCACTGTTGAATAACTCTTATGGTAAAAAAAAGTTTTTCCTAATATCCATCCAGCAGGGGTGTAGACTTTCCAATTTCGGGGGGGGCGAGGGCTGGGGCTGGGGCTGGGCCAGCAGCATCCTTAAAAGAACTGGGCCCAATGATATCATAGGGAGGAGCCAGTGACATCACAGGCCATTGTCACTATCTTTGGAGGTGGAGCCATGTTGGATTTAGGGAGGGGCTCCCCAGAAATTTAGGGGGGGGCTGGGAATGCTCCCAGCAATGCTCCTGGGCTGGGCTAAACCCAGCAAAAAGGTGGGAGTTGGCCAGTGGTTATAGTGGTATCTCAGCCGTCTCCTGCTGTGTCTTGTTTCTGAAATTCATTTTTAGAATAGTCACTTTAAAATCTGCAAATATGCATACCATGTGCATTGGAAAAACTAATGGTCACAAATTTGACAGTAAGAGAGGCAGCACAGAAAAGCCTGTGGGGGAACATTTTAAAAGTTTTCCTGGACATTCATTTACAGGAGTCTTGTTTCTGCCTTATTCATAAGGGTGAGTTTGTACTGAAATTTACTAAATTGTGGCACCACAGATGCCTTGGTTTGGTAAATGCATGGCTGGAGTCTCTGAGCCAAGTCAGAATACAAAACAGTTGCCATGCACTCAATTTATGAGCAATGTACATAGTAGCAATCTTCTCAGTGCTCTGGGACTGGAATGACAGCACCCAGAGTGGCACGGCAGTCCCCGGGATTAGGTTTTGTGCTAGTAGTCAGATTAAATGGCCAAAAAAATTATCAAATTTCAGACTGTGAATTTCAAAATTTTAGAGTTTTCCCTGTTCCCAGTTCAGTTCAAATTTATTCTCTCACATTCATACCATTTAATTATACCATTTATTATAGTGATAACCTATTCTGGAGTAGCCTTATTTATTTTATCAGCCTTTCTCTTGAGTAAATGAAATATAGGTTGTGGACAAAATCTGTATATAGACTTCAGATCATTTGTGTTCTATGTATTATTTGCCCAGAGTTTCTGTTCCATTCAATAGTTAGTCCTTGCAAAGAGATTACAACAAGGTTGTTTTATTAACAAATTTGCATATGAATGTATCATATTCTGAAGCCATGGGTTTGTGAAGGAAAAATGTTTCCAAAAATATTAATGTGTTATGTAAAATAAGCAACTATGAAGCTTCTGGAATGACGGATTTGGAATAGTTCAACAAAATGGAAAAACAGGTGGGATAGGAAGACAGCTACAGAATGAATTTAGAATGGTCATATAAATACCCAATTGTCTTTTGCATTTGGTCTCTAACCACAGTCGTAATGTGTTATGTAAAATAAGCAACTATGAAGCTTCTGGAATGACGGATTTGGAATAGTTCAACAAAATGGAAAAACAGGTGGGATAGGAAGACAGCTACAGAATGAATTTAGAATGGTCATATAAATACCCAATGGCCTTTTGCATTTGGTCTCTAACCACAGTCGAATGATTCATACTATTATTCACTTGTACAGACTCCTAGATGAAATGTTAATTTGTCTAATCGGAGTTGAGAATGCAGGGTTTTTAATGCATATGAGCACTACCGTGGGGGTGTTTATTTGGGGGATTAAAGGAGGCATTTGAACCCATAAGTTAGCATGTGCCTATGACCTCAGCCCGCGTTAGGGTTGCCACAGGCCATTATGAGCCTTCTTTCTCTTTTGGATGCAGCCTCCCTTCACCTTTCTGGGCAGCTGGAGGAAAATGGGAGAAAACACTGCATGTGTCCCTATGTCACTCCTAGCAAAAACCCAGAAGTGATGTTAAAGCCAACCCATAATGCTCTAGCAATTTCCTAAAGTTTCTTTGATTGTGTTTGTGACATCACTTCTGAGATTTCACCAGAAGTGATGTCGTGAAATACATTATGCTTCCCCCCTCCCAAGGATTCTGCCCCCCTGAAAGCTCCTGCTATGTGTAAGAGCTGGACTGACAACCCTAGCCCATGTTGGTCTACACAGGTGACAGGGATGACCAAATAAATACTGTTAGTTCTGCAGTCTACATGACTGCTGTTAGCCACTGTGGGGGCCCCCAAAAGATTTGCCATGGGACCCCGCACCAGCAGCCCAAACCTCAAAACATGATTTGGTCAGTTGTGTGTGTCTCTACGGTAACAAGTGTCCCAACCTTTCCTTGACGGTCCTGGCATTCTGCACAGGAAACTTCTGAGATGAATGTGAGCAATAAAAGTGAACATGGAAGAATTCTCTGTAGGAAAAGTAGTTTCTGTTTTTGCACATCAGAACTAAACTGGAATGCAGATTTTTGCAAGGCAGCGTATTTCGCATACACTCCAGAATAATTCTGATAACTTCTTTTGATACGTTCTTGGATGCTGAGTCATTACAGGGTATCTTACACTATGCACAATCCTGTGTAGTTTATATAAACAAAAAAACAGGATGGTCAGGCAAGCTTGCTTGTAACCCTGAGCATGTCAGAAACTAAAAAAATTAGCTTTACCTTCCAACAACAGGGGACCAATGAGGTTAAATACTTCCACCATCCTTTTATGGTGCCCTATCAGGGGCATATTATACTGCCTGTCTGGAATTCAAACAGCAGAAGGGTTATTAATTATCTGGCAAGTCCCCAATATATGACAAATATATTCAGCTTGATGTGTCGCAAGTTGTACTGGTCTAATGTATTAGCCTGGTACAATTTTCTGGCTCCCTTTGAAGATTTTTGTACCACCTCCCCCAAAAAATCAACAATCTTGAAGTCAATTCTTCTTTCAGCATGGATGTGTTGTACCGTCTAAACTTCTCTGTAGATAATAACTTAGTGATGCAATAAGTAGAATCAGGGGTCGTTTCGTAGAAAAAGAGCTAGGGGAACTTATTAGCATAACTCATTAGCATATGCCACACCCCCTGACATTACCAGAAGTGTGTCATAAGGCCACACACCCTGACATCACCGGAGGTGTGTCATAAGGCCACACACCCTGACATCACCGGAGGTGTGTCATAAGGCCACACACCCCGCCCCCAACGGTTCCGGCCGCTGCTGCCGGCCTTGCAGCTCCACTGCCGAGCCCCATGAGGGGCCCGGTTGTGGATCTGCAAGGCCAGTGGGAGTGCAAGGAAGCCCCGCGAAGGCCCTCCCTGGCCCCAGGCAGGGAGGGGTGGGGAGAGGCAGAGAGGAATCAACTTACCCTCCCTCTTCTCCTGCCTCCTCCTGGCTGAATGAGGGCCGGAAGCGGGGCGGCCGGAAGCAGGGGGCGGGGCTTCATCATGTGCCCCACCCCCCGTACCTCACCTGGGGGAACTGCAATTCCCCGCGTTCCCCCCCGAAATGACCTCTGAGTAGAATTATTATAGTTTACCAATACCTCCTTTTGCTTCTTCCAGTCCTAGTTGATAAAGCTTGTTTTATGTTTCTTTGTCCAAATTATCCTCATAGTAAACAATCACTAATGTGAAAAACTACCAACTGTAAATATACTTAAATTTGTGTCATCTATACTTTGCTGGGTAATGAAAATGCATATGATAGGGTGAAGGACAGAGGGGGTATTTTTTACTAATAAACTATTTTTAGAAGTGGTGAACCCTGATTCAAAAGGGAAGAAAACTATTCTTTCTATTGAATGGCAGTGATTATTTTTCCAGTTTGCATTTGCTGTTACGAATCTGAAACAAAAACAAAAGAATTCCAGCATCCATCTATTTCAACATTTTTTAAAAAATCAGTAAACAGCCAGATGTCTTTTGATATTCACAAAAAAGTTCAGGATGGTAATGAACATTCTCTCTTCTTTATGCATCATCTGATATTGAGAAGATACATGAAGCCTTCATGGCTAATAGCCACCAAATGATCTTATTTTCTGTGATTTTAAAGTCAACTGAGCATTTATAAAACCAGCTGATTTAATGGCCATCCATCTCATGACAGTGAACTCCATAAATAATGTTTTGGGTAAATCTGTGATACAAATGAAGAAAGGCTTTGACTTAAAGGGCTGGTTCATATATGTATATTCACAACTTGAAGAGTACACAGCATCACAGTGTACTTAGTGCATATAGATGAGCAAATACAGAACAAAACTGATAGATATTCCATATCACTTCACATCAACTCAGATATAATTCTACATCTTGCCAACAACCTCTTGTGATTGCCAAAAAAAGGAGGAGGAGGAGGATTCCAATAACTAGTGTTGAGGGTCACATGGATTGGGGGTGACTGCAAAGAGGAGGGAAAATAGGTGAAATCACTCATGGTAGAATACAAATCAGTGTTTTTTCAAGTAATGAATTCATATGTTCATCCATGAGCTGAAAAATGCTGAGTAATCCAGTGACGTCCATGGATATATAGTCCAAACCATAGCATAGTTTAACCAAAACTGTGATACTAGATATATGAATTTGTAAACCATGTTTCTCGCGCACTATCCAAATCTTGGCATATTAGTAAACCCAGAATTTGCACCACTGGGGGAAAAAATCAAACCATTATCAAACAGTCTTTTTGAGAAAAGAACACATGGAGTTGAGGTTTAAAAACTGACATCAGTTTCTATAATTTTATGGTAAATGTGGTGATAAAGTCATGTCATCCATTGGAATAGCATCATATGGTGGTGTGTTCCTGTTTTGGCCTGTCGTCTCATTGGCTGTTGTGGGATTGTAGTATGACGGATCAGCAAAGCTCTCACCATGAGAGTCAGGTGCATTGTCCAGTCGCAGAACTGTAAAATAATATTGATAGTTATTTATGGAGTATGTTAACCTTGCTTTATCAATATAAAACAGCCGTTCTCAAACTCTAGCGACCAAATAAAACCCATTTTCATTAAAAAGTTTCCATAGATTATCAAGCCCTCACCAGCTTGCTTTTCAAACACTGCATGATTAACTATATATGCTCCATCAAGGCTTCCATCCTCTCCCTACTTAAAACAATATCGTCATAAACTGCACTTCAAAAATATCAAGAATCATCCATATTGGTTATTACCCTGTAGGTAGAGTCTAGTTGAGCAGGTGTGGAAATGGGAATGGAAAAACTTTTAGAGCTGCTCATAAAAATAGAAAAAGACGAGCTCCACGCAAAATCCAAACTTCTGATATCCAATTGAAAATTGCCATTAACTATTACTGCCTCCAGTGCGGAGTGCCACCACTATACCTCATGGTAAAATCCTTGTTTTTTTAGAGAATTATACCTGAAGTGACTATGATGACTGAATTAGGACTGTATCTCCTTGGTGCCACTTAACCAATGAAAATTCCTAGTGCTGAGTTATTGGTTCCAGAGGCCAATTAATGTGTTTTCTGACTACTGCTCTGAAAAGCTAAGAAAGCATTCAGTGCACATACAGCACCCCCAATGGAGCAAATAACACTCCTAAGCACCATTTTGGATCACAGAAACAGCAGGGGGGAAGGCGGGAGTGCCTCCTCCCCCTGTACCATGGTTCTGACCACAGTTGAGCCCCTCCATGGCTGCAGTCAGAAAATTACAAACTATTTTACTCTGAAATGACAAACACCGAAGAAATTGAATTGCTCTAATAGTGAGGCAAGATGCAGGACAATGCAAAGTTTGACAGAATAACATCAGTCAGACTTCATGGAAAGCCTGTCAACATAACCTCAACTACAGATGCTGGTGAAGAAGAAATTGAAAGCTTTTGTGCAAGTGTCCAAGACGTTTTTATGCAAGTGTCACACACCTGAACAAGATATGCTGACAACCATAGGAGACTGGAATGCAAAAGTAGGAAACAAAGGAGAATTAAATATTGTTGAAAGATTTAGGTTAGGAGCATGAAATGAAGCAGGAGAGCGACTTATAGAATTCTGTGAAGACAACTATTTGTCCATTGTGAACACGTTCCAGGCAACCGAACACACAATTGTATATGTGGACATTACTGGACAGCCAATATAGAAATCAAATAGATTACATAATCAGAAGCAGATGATGGAGAAGCTCTATTCACGCTGCTAAAATAAGACCAGGAGTTCTGTGGTACAGACTGTGAATGGTTAAATAGCGAAAATTAGAATAACGCTGAAGAAAAGTACCAAAACATCCACAGTGCCAAAATTCAATCTAAACAACATTCCTGATCAGTTTAAAGACTAAAGAACATATTTGTATTACTAAGTTTAAGTGAACATGAACCTGAAGAACTATGTCTTAAAACTAGAGATATTACCAAGGAAGAATGATATAGGGTTGCCAGGTCCCCCTTGGCCACTGGCAAAGGGTGGGAGAGTAGGATTGGGAAACTCCAGGAGATTTGGAAGTGGAGTATGAGGGGGAGAGAGTGGGGTACAATGTCATAGAGACCAACCTCCAAAGCATGCTGGTTTCTCCAGTGGAACTGATTTCTGTAGTCTGGAGATGAGCTGTAATTCTGGGGGATCCCCAGGTCCCACCTGGAGACTGGCATTTCTAAGAATAATCAAAGACTGTTCCTCAATGAATGACTGATTAAACTCTTAAAATTGCTAAAGCAAAATGAAAAGAGAAGCAAATGTAAAAGGTGACAGGAAGTGAATCAAAAGCCTAAATATAGTGTTCCAAAGACTTGCACTTAAATACCAAGAGAATTATTATAATAACCAATGTAAAGAAATAGAAGAGATCAACAAAAAAGCAAGACCAAGAGATCTGTTCCACAAGTTTCAAAAGATCAAAGGGAAATTTAAAGCATGGTTAGGCATGCTGGAAGATCGACACAGAAAAAAGTTGACTGAACAGGACAAAATAAAGAAAAGATCAGAACAATACGCTAAAGAACAATACAAAAGAAATGAAAGGATGGCAGTTTCCTTCAAAGAAGAAACTTTTGAAGAGGAACTTACAGTTTTAAAAAGCTAAGTAAAAGCTGCCACGAGAACAATTGGGTGAAACAAGTCACCACGAATAGATGAGATATCAATAGAGGTATTGCAAGCCACAGAAACAGAGTCCATCAAGATCTTGATAAGAATATGTCAATAAATATGAAAAACAAAACAATGGCCCACATACTGGAAATGCTCTATCGACATTACAATTCCAAAAGGAGACGTTAAAGACTGCAGCAACTATCACACCATTGCATTAATTTCTCATGTGAGTGATGTTCAAAATTTCACAACATAGACTGTTACCACGTATGGAATGAGAGATGCCAGATATTCAAGCTGGATTCAGAAAAGGCACTTAAGATTATATTGCAAATTTACATTGGTTGCTGAAGCATACATGAGAATTTCCACAAATTACAGCAAAACCATGTGTTCCATAGATTACAACAAAGCTTTTGATTGTGTGGATCATGAAAATCTATGGTTAGTTTTAAAAGAAACTTCTACAATATCTGTTTGTCTTGATGTACAACCTGTACCCTGGACAAGAGGTTAGTGTTAGGCCGGAATATGGAGAAACAGAACTGTTTTCAATTTGCAAAGGTGTCAGATAAAGATGTATTTTATCTCCCAATCTGTTCAACCTAAATGCAAAAGGAAAACTAGATTAGATTTAGATTAAAGTGAAGTGAAGTGAAAATTGGTGGAAGGAACATTAACAATTTGGGATATGCAGATGATACCACATTACTGAGGGACCGCCTTTCTCCATATGTTCCCCCAAGGGCACTTCGGTCGGGAGGGCAACATCTCCTGGAGATTCCAGGCCCGAGAGAAGTTAAATTTGCTGTCACTAGGGCTGGGGCATTTTCGGTGGCGGCTCCTACCTGGTGGAAGGAGCTCCCGGAGGAGATCCGGGCCCTGCGGGACCTCTCTCAGTTCCGCAGGGCCTGCAAGACGGAGCTCTTCCGCCAGGCCTTTGGATAGGAGCCGCCGCCATTGTTTTAGCCCCAGCGAACTAACATCGAATTAACATCGAATCAACATCGGATTGCCTGGCCCCTAAGGGTGGAACGTAGTACTAAACACGACTCTAGGATAAGATCAAGGGTAGCTATGTGAGATAAGATCTCTCTTCTCTGGTCTGAAACTAGTTGTTATTTTGTTGTATACCGCTTGTTTTATTGTAATTTATTGTTTTAATTCATATTGTATTGTTTTAACCTGGCACTTTGTGCCCTGTAAGTCGCCCTGAGCCTACGGGGTAGGGCGGGGTATAAATCTAAATATAAATAAATAAATAAAATAAATAAAGAAAATAGTGAAGGCCTGAAACAACTGCTGAGGAAGGTTAAAGCAGAAAGTGTCAAAATAGGATTATAGCTGAACATCAAGAAGTAATTATTAAAAGGCAATTAGACCACTTTAATGTTGATGATAAAGAAATCTAAATGGTTAAAGACTTTCTATTCCTTGGCTCCATCATCCAAAAAATCAGAAGGAGACTGTGACTGGGAAGGGAAGCCACAAAGGAGCTAGAACAGATTCATAAGGATGTCTCACTGGCAACCAAGATCAAGATAGTTTATATCATAGTATTCCCTATTACTATGTATGGATGTGAAAGTTGGACAACAAAAACAGCTGACAAGAAGAAAGTTGATTCAGTTTACACGGGCAAGGCTGGATGTAAATTGAAAGTAAATAAATAAAATAAATAAATTAAAAATTCATTTAAAATGTGGTGTTGGATGAGAGTTTCACAGATGCCATGGACCATCAAAAAGACAAATTAGGGTTCTCTAGATCAAATCAAGCCTGAACTCTCCCTTAAAGCTAAAATGACTAAACTGAGGCTTTCATACTTTGGTCACATTATGAGAAGACAAAAGTCACTGGAAAAAGACAATAATGCTAGGAAAAGTTGAAGGCAGCAGGAAAAGAGGAAGACCCAACGTGAGATGGATTGACTCAATAAAGAACGCCATGGCCCTCAGTTTGCAAGAGCGGAACAAGGCTGCTAACATGGCAAACCCGTCAACAACATTACGTGTAGTTTAGCTCTGAAACATATTGATTTAGCTATCCTGAATGATGCTATATAAAACTCCAGTATCCCTAAATTACCTATTCAGTTGCAAGGTATCTTCTGATTGTCATGAGGATAGGGAGCATAAGGTTAAATCTTTTGACAAATGATTTCTTTTTCTGTATGTTAAAAAACTGCTTTTTCTGTTCTTTATGGTTATAACCTATGCCAATAAAGGCACTGACTGACTATATAAAACTTTAATGTATAACATTAATTTATGAGCAGATAATTCTTGTTAGCCTGTGGCTCCTTTGTTCCTCTCCTAAAAGCATGTTTATAAGCCACTGAGGTTCAGGATCCCAAATGAAAAAGATACTTCAAACCTGAATGAAAATAAGTAGTAAATCTCTGATAACAAATTTATCGTAGTGATGTGGTGAAAAGTGCCTTTGCATTTCTGTTATGCGAATATTATTTATGTGTATTATCTATATCTATCTATATCTTCTATCTATCGTACTACTCATACAACTGTTGCCTTAAGCAGAAATTAAAATGGGAAAACCCTTACTTAATGCTGTTTCCCTGGTATTTAATTATTGCCCCTATATATTTTGTCACAGAAAGGGTAATGGAATCATTTGTATCTCATAGTACCCACGTCACCTGAGCTCTCATATTAGGCAATTCCGTATTCTAGAAGGCAAAATAGAATATTTTAAACATGGAAGGGCAATGCCAGTATTACAGGGATCCCCAACACTGAGCCTATGGGTGCCATGGGACACTTTTCCTAGTGATGGCCAAGTGTTTTTAGAAAGTTGGGGGACACTTTTGTCCATCAGGGTTTCTGACTGGCCATTGGAGATGTGATTGACTATACAGATTTTTAAAAATCGTTCAGCAGCAGTTGCCTCCACAGCACAAGGATCTTCATTATGTGACTGAAGATAAGCTGTGTATATGCAAGAAAATATTTTAAACAATATTTAATTTTAAAAGGCACCCTGTTAATTAGAACTTCTGCCCTAAATGTTCAAGAGTTACTATTAGAATCATGAACAATCTCATTCTTGGACATTGTGCGGTTGGCTCTGCCTCCCGTGGCAGCCATTTTGTGGTTACACCCACCACCCTGTGTCAGAATTCCAAAGGTGCCAGCAGGGTCGAAAAGACTGGGGACACCTTCAGTATTATATCCACATCACAGAAAGTGCAAACACTTATTTACCTGTGAAATCATTTTACATCTTAATCAATCATATCTTTCTTGTTTAACTGGGAGGAAAACTTCCAAAAACAACCTACATTCATTTGGATGTAAAAATAATCATTTACAGCCATCTCACCAGCAGCATTTATACTGCTGTCTTGGCTTTAATGTCCCTGGGTTTGTGGCACAGGTTGTAACTGAATTTAATGGCCAAGTTTTTTGGTCAGAATGTATCAATCCATAGCCTTTGACAGATTGACACTATCTGATTTTAGAAATATCCACACCTGTGCCCATTAAAGACCACATTTTTACTGCTTCATTGCTGCTAATAACTGTACCAAGCACAAAGCAGTATCACCCTCCAGTACAATAAATTCAGTCACAGTACAGTCCCAGCTCAGTCTGAGAATTTCGGTGCAGTTATTATGCCAATAACAGAAACACTCGCAAAAATGAGATTCCAGGGTTTTTTCTGAAGTATTTTGAGAGAATGTATTTATGGAGACTGATTTATGGGTATTTTTAGAAGTACTAATAAAGAAAATTAAGCCCATTATAGCAAAGTGTGTTAAGCACAGAATAATTATTTGCTTCTTTCATATTCAGGAGCATACGTGCAGTAAGGGAAATCAATGTGATTTTAAAGTTCCACTTCTCTTTGCTGAGATGATATTGTGCCCTAACCAAAAAAAATGCTAGTGTATATGTCTTTTGTCATATTGGAGACCTGTTAAAGTTCCCTTCAAGCAACATGAGCCATACTTTTTTTGCCTACGTGGTAAACTGGATCCCAACATTGATAGTGGAAGAGAAAGGTTATTTAACACAGTTCAGTTGCACAAGAACTAGTATAAATTTAAGCACACTGTTTTTCATTTCTGATCAGTGTTGCTGTATACAAAAATAAAAAGGCTAATTGATACAGTCACTACAGTCCAGTTGGATTTGTGATATGATTTGGTCAAAGAAGGGCATTATGGACCGAGCTGCCGACATATACTTGGCACGATGATTTGCACGAGTGGAAACATTAAATGGGATATGGTACTTGTGATGACTTATTTGTGCTTCCTCTTCCACTTGTATGAGAGCTCTTGATTCAGTGGAAATGTCCTATGAGATCCAGCCTAATATATATAAAAACCTACCTGTAGTGTGAATGTTCCCCTGTTTTATTAAATATAGTCACTGCTTCAGGTACCTGAGAGAAAGCAACTTTGTATCTAGCCCAGTAGGAATGGTGAATAGTCATTAGTTCAAAGTTGTAAGAAATTCACTTCATTCCATCTCTCCTCTCTTTGGTTTTCACTTTATAAAGTTGGGGAAGCACTTTTAGTTGAATTGCAGCTAGTCAAGATTCTTTGACAGCTGCAGCAATTGCTATTGAGAATAACGAGTACTTCATCTATATATTGTGCCTCAGATTGTTAAACTTTTGATACCTGGATCATTCCTTGTGTCATCATAAAGTCTTTGATGTACAAATCCGTCAGATTTTCTCTTCCTGCACACGAAGTAACCAACCAAGCCAATTAATGCAGATCCAAGCACAGCTCCTACAATGGCACCAAATATTACTCCTCCATTGCTGTGATTATCTGCAAAAAATATAGAGAGATTTTAAGCAACCATAGGACCCTTGCAAGTCTACAGTGAAAACAAAATAAGGTCATGTATAGAAATATTGATTCCTATAGACCCCTGCCTCCCCCTGGAATGTGTCTTGCTGATACCCTGCTGTGTTGATTTCCTATTGAAGCCATATGGCCTCAACAGGCCTGCCATATAACCCTACATTCTTCACACTTCAATGCTGGCAGAGAACAGATGGCCTAGCAAACAGGCAAAAAAACACATACGCTATGGGGTGGTTGGAATTTGGGGACCGCATGACTGCAGGTGTGGCCTTCAAGAGTACTGGCCATTCAGAAGTTGTCCCCATGGCAACCCAACAATTGGACACTCCCATGTCTACTCCAATTGGCCCCTGGCCAGGGCTAATTTGAGACCAGGATTGCCCTATATCTAGTCATTCCCAATGAGAGGAACACTCTCTCTTCTGTTCCTGCTATCTCTGCTGAAATGTGGACTTACCCCTGAAATGCTCTTGTCCTGCCATGTGGTCTGTGGGAGAACAAAGGATCCCCTTGTGCCTTAGAGCACATGAAGGCAAGGAGGGGATGTTCCTCCTCAAACCCCCTTGGGGGTACCTGGACTATTCCAATGGACAATATTGGATGCTACCCTGATGTTGGTAAATATGCTTCTTACTGTTTAGTTAAGGCAAAACTTGCCTAGGCTTGTTATTTTGAATTTCTTCTAGTCTGTGCTAAGTTCTATACTGAATAAACTTATTCTGGTTTTCTAATTTGTCTGTATTGTGGTAACTGGACTTCAAGCCTTTTTCCTGTGCCTGCTGCCCGCCAAATGGCGCTACCTTAGTAAGATTAACTGCACAGCTCTGGATTGAGCTGCTAATGTGTTAAGTCCTAGAGGCCAGTTAAGAGTCTGAACCTTGCTCTTGGACTGGAATGGGACTATAGTTTTAAAAGGTTCTGGTGGCTATAGTGTTCTGAAATCCAGAGAGCCTACCTTTCTGGGTTGTTGTATAATGTATTGAGCCAGTGAAGAGTTCTTCCCCTCATCCCTGGACTGGCCTGGGGGGGCAGAATCTATACAGGTCAAAATAAGGCTACAGAGCCTTGGCAAAATTTGTGGGCCCTTGATGAGAACAGAGGAGGCATCCAATATAAAATAATGCTCAATCAGGTACATGAGGAAACCAAAATATTTTGATATATTTCAATATTATTTTTCTCAGATTTAATGGTACATTAAAAGGCACACCGTCATTTGTATTTAACAGTGAGCTTGGGTTTCCAACCATGTGAACTCGTGTACCAGTGAAGAACCACCTGGCTTTCCCTGAACAATCTTTTTACACTTCTTTACAGCAGCTTCCCAAGCTTATTTCAAAGTTATTGAAAATTCTCAAGAAACACTTGGTTAAATGCAGCTAAGAGCTAATTTAGACATTTAAAGGTGCATCCAATGTAATTCTTTATTTACCTATACCATCTCAGTGTGGTCACTTATTTAGAAGCACTTCTATATTCTTCTGGACAGCTTCAAGCTGGTTCTCACATGGTTATTCAGTTTTTCATGGTTGTAATTTCACGTGATTACTTGAATCTTTAAATAGACTACTGTATGTTTAACGATACAAACATAACCTTCATATCACCTCTCACCATTTAAAATGCAATGTCTTCCAATGGATTTCAGTTTCTAGTCATCAACTGTAATCAAGTGGTATACATGAATGTATAGGGTAGAAGCCTTGTCCAGAATGTGCTAGCTGTCCACATGCACGAGATTTGGGCATGCAGAAAGTTTCAGATAAACATTTCTCGTTTGAATTATGAAGTCTTATGGCTATGTGAAAGGACTATCCAATGTGTTCCTTCTGAATAGCTGAAACAACTCTGCCAGATATGGCACTAAGTTATCTGAAAGAATCCACGCTGATCCTGATAGGAGTAAAAAGCTATAGTTTTTATTATCCCTTTGAATGCTCCATTTTGTGAGTCAAAAGAACAATAAGATAAGAAGAAGAATGCTCCCTTTATTTGGAAATCATAATCACCAAGTACAAACGGAAACACTCTTCTCCTGAAGGATGGAAAATATCTGTGAAATAACTTCAGACAAACTGGTCACACAAAGATTTTAAGAAGGGAAACCAACAACCTGGGAGGTCAGAGGACACACTGGTTTTATGACTATATATGCCCAAACAAGCAATTCAGTCCTAAGGATGTCACCATTTCCTAAACAGCCAATGAGCTGAGAAGCTTGAATGTTCTTTTGCTTGACATAAATTCAAAATGTAAAAGTTAAAAACATTTATTGGGCTGAAAGTTGAAGTGTAACCATTTGTTTTTTAGAAGACCCATACAATGGGCAAGTTTCATAAATAATTTGGTAAACCTGATCATGACACAGGATGAGAAGCTCATCTGAAGTCATGCAAATGTAAACTAACATTTGTATGGATTTGTCACCTTACAATATATAAGCAGTTCAGTTTTCTGTTCTATTATCTATTTTATTATATGTTGCTTGAAGTCAAAGCTACAACAGTGGGTTCACAGTTGTATCTATTGTACCTATATAATGAGGATATGCCATGGCTGAGTAGCTAGTGTTGCTGTGTGGTAGTTGCTGCAGGACAGTTGTAATATACTGAAATAAAAATAAATTATATGTAAAATAGATAAAGCACTTTTACCTTTTCTGGGTTCATGTTGAGTTTCTGCTGAGCTTTTAGTAAAACTCGGGTGCAGTCTTGTGGTTTGCACACTTGTCCTTAAGACTGTTTTGGCATTATTGCTAGTAGTCAGTGACATAGCTGATGTAGTATTATTGGGAGGAGCTGTTTGAGCATCACTAGTGGATACCACTGTAGTAAAACTGACATGATGGGTAGTTGTGGTGAAGCTGTTTGATGCTGCTTCTGATGAATTGGTGTGCGTTGTATTGGCATAGCTTTCAGAGACTGTCAACAGGCTGCTTGAGGTCGTAGTAATTTCTGAGGGAGATGATGTTTCTGAGGAAGATGACATTCTGTTTTCACTTGTAAAAGTCTGAGTGGTATCTTCTGTTGAATTATCCAGCTGCTGTGTAGTTTGACTTAACCCTGTCTCACGAAGACTGATGCCATTACTTTGAGTGTCATATTCTGTTACAGTACTTGTTTCATTGTGATGAGTAACTGTTGGTGATGTGACAAAAGACATCATGCTGGTACCTATAGTTGTAGATGGTTCACTTGTATATGTAGATGTTTTGGCTGAGTTACTTAAAGTGCTTGGGAAGTCCGTGCTGTTTTCAGCATTGCATCTAGTCCACTGTAAACTAGCCAGCAGCAAAATAAACACCATTCTCTGGAAGATCAGCATGGTTTGACAACACTTGTTGGAGGGGAAAAAATTGAAATTAATTTTATATCGGTATAAATATATTATTATACTTGAATAAATGTACAAAGGGTATCTTATGATTCCTATTCTGCTGGTTTAGTTGTGACCGGGAGTGGTTTTTGGGTTTTGAAGTAAGTTTCCTATCTAGGACATTGGGTTTTTCATCTTTAGAACATCATCGATGAACTGGGTGGTGCTCCAGTGGTTTAGTTGTGACCGGGAGTGGTTTTTGGTTTTGAAGTAAGTTTCCTATCTAAGACATTTGGTTTTTCACCTTTAGAACATCAGAGATGAACTGGGTGGTGCTCCAGCAGAATACTGTGAAATGACCCAGGAGCACATTGCTTACATTCATAATCCAATTGACTGCTGTATTTGTGATTGAACTGGAAATATTATTGTAACATCACCTACTGATGCTGAGTCCCCCCACCCCTGGATACATGGCATTTATGCATATTTCTTTAAAACTTTTGTATCCTACTTTCTGGCCTAAGATAGGTCTATGAAGCAGCTTCCATTTGTTAAAGAACACAATACAGTAAAATATAACGAGATATGATAGTTTTGCTTTGTCGATGGGGGCTGGACTACATTTCATTTTAAAAAATAGCCTGAAATAGTACATCAATTTGATATAAACAGAATAAATTCAGAAAAGAACTAATTAGTGAGAAACATGGAAGTTTTACTAACCCCCCAATCTGCTATACTCTCACCAAAGGTGATAATATACAAAATCAGCTAAAGTAGGTAATTCCATATGATGCTTTATACCAAACACACATACACACACACAAAGAGAGAGAGAGGGAGAGATAGGGAGGCACTCTTGGCCACAGCTGCCACCTTTATATCCAGCAATAGGCCTCAGTCCAAGAGCACCCCTAGACTACGAACCTGTTCCAAGGGGAGTTCAACCCCATCCAGCATAGGTGACACTTTAAATCCTGGGTCAGACCTTCTACCCATCAGTAGCACTTCTGTTTTTATCAAGATTAAGCTTCAATTTATTAGCTCACGTCCACTCCAGAACTGTCTCCAGGCACCAGTTCAGAGATTCTAGAGCCTCCCTGGGATCTGCCGGAAGTGCAAAAAGAGCTGAGTGTCCTCCACATATTGGTGACAACCAGTGTTCCCTCTAAACTGAGTTAGTGTGACCTAGCTCATAGTTTTTTTAGCTTCCGGCTCACACATCTTCATCTTCACTCAAGAAGGATGGCTGCAGAGCAAACTAATGTATGCAGTAGCCAAATCGTTTGCTCACAACTTTAATGCCAGTAGCTCACAAAGTAGAATTTTTGCTCATAAGACTCCACAGCTTAGAGGGAGCACTGGTGACAACCCAGCTCATATCTTCAGATGAACTTACCTGGAGTTTCATGTAGATGTTAAAAAGCCTTTGGGGCAGGATGGAACCTTGTGAGACCCCATAGTCTTCTCTCTCCCACTAGAATAGGAGATAGTGGTATCATGTGTTCAACAGGCAGTATTTTGACATACCTTGTGTTTTCCTTCTCTGATAGGAATATGTATGACTAAATTCACTCATGTAATGTGTTTTATGTACATGTAATAGCTTTTTATTACAGTTTTGCTAATTGAAAACATAGCCCTTTTTTCTGTGATAGCAGGACAGACTGATTTTACAGACAGGGCTTAATAACTGCCTTGGAGCAAAATGAAGAAAAACCTATAAGAAAACAGAGTAATACATTGTGTACTCCCAGAAATTGTTTTTTCTGCTGGACTGATTTCATGGCTTTGCCCTTTCTGGTAGCAGAGTTCAGCAAAACATCACAGCAAATAAGATCGTCAGTTTAGGGTGACATAACTGCCTGGAGAAACGACATACTATGACTTAGCCATACAAGCCAGTAATATTTGAATAACATGTCCTAATAACAGATGTGCACCCATGCTATATTATGTGACTGGTTGCTGATTGTCAGGAATTCCCTTCACTCTTCTATATTATTGTGAAGGTGAAGGTCATTCAAATGCAGCTACAGCCAAGGCACAGATTAGATTTATTTATTTATTTATTTCTATCCCACCCACCCCTGCAGAGCTAGCTCAGGGTGGGTTACAACAAACAACAAAATAACACAATACAATCATTCAATAATTAAAACATCATATCAACAATCATTAAAACCTAATAACCTCAATTACTTCAGCAACAAATGGTAATAGATGGCACCATCAGCATACTGATGGCAGCCCAGCCCAAAACTCAGAGCCAAATGGGTGAGGGGGAGCATATAATGCTAAATAACATTGGAAAGAGAATTGCCCCTTGCGAGATGCCACATACCAAAGGGTAATGTGGTGAAACTCTCTCCCCAAGCACCACCCTCTGTCCTCGACCATGGAGAAATGAGACAAGTCACTGTAAGGCTGTCCCATGTATCCCCACATTTGTGAGGCAATGGTCATAAGATTGTAATCAGCTGTATTGAACACTGCTGTCAAATCAAGTAATAGCAGCAGTCCCAGTCTGCCTCAATCCAAGTGTCTACGGAGGAGTTTATCTTGTTTATTTACCATACTCTGTGTATTAGTATAAAGACATCTCAGGTTACAGACATCCTTTCCTATCTTAGGTCCCTTCGAATTTACCTGAAAATTACTGAACTCACCTCTCTCCTGTTCATTTATTTTATGGTCACTCCCTTTCTTGAACTCCCTTTCAGATCAAGCAGTTACAGCAGCACTGATCCTCCTTGGTTCAGATGTCTGTAAAGATCATCCATGAGGGAAACCAGAGCCATCTCCAGCCAATAGCCTCAGAGGAAACTGAACTAGAATGGATCCAGGATAGAGGAGTCATCCAGGAAGACCTGGAGCTGTTCCACCACCACTCTCTCAACTACCTTACCCAGGAATGAAAGATTCAAAACTGAATTAACAAACCCTAGAACACATGCATACCAATTTATGATTAAAAAAAATGATGGCTTCGGTCACACAGGCAGGAAAATGCGGGGGGGGGGCAAACGGGTTTTTTCCCCCTGTACACTGAAGTATGCGCATGCTCCGTTGGGTGCTTGTGCGCATCCATGGAGACTTGGGGGGGAAGCTTTTTGTGAGGGGACATGGGCGGGCACCAGATGCCACCGGAAACGCGATCAGACGCCCGTCCTTGCCCCACGGTTTCCGGAAACTAGTACCTCCGAGGTACAAGTTTTTTTACCCCGCATCTTTGGCAGGAAGTCTCGGGTGAGCCACGGGAGCTCTACGCTTCCCAGATGTAGCGGTGAGATCGCGGCCGGAAAATCCGCCTATCTTCCATCCCTGTAGCGTGGCTAATGCTCTGTGTGACCGCAGCCGATATTCAATATAGGGATCCCATTTTGGCTTCTGCCCCAAATTGACTAAATATGATTGGGCTAAATTTTAAAAATTGCTAATCTTCTCCAAACAGCCACCCATACAAAAATACAGAGCAATCCTAAACAGACTAATATCTTTCTATGTCCATTGAAATCAATTGATTTTAAAAGATGCAGCTCTGTTTAGGATTGCATTGTAAAGCTGAAGTTTGGGTAATTTTTTTTATTCTAAATATGGTTGCAATTTCTTTTGATTCAAAACTAAAGGAACAATTCATCATTCATTCGTGCCTGGGATTTTTTTTCCTGACCCATTAGTGCCAGTGTTTAGTACATAATCTGCTGAATTTTTCTGTTTTAAGTTATAAAGCCAGAGGAGGAACAAATGAAATACTAAATGATTTAGCAAGTTCTGTAACTTTCCTTTAGCAAGTTCTGTAACTTTAGCAAGTTCTGTCTTTCTTCTTACCCATACTCACTGTTTTCCTCTCAGTTACAACCCACTTTTCCTTCTATCAATAGCCATTTCATTACTGAACAAAGTGTGTTTTGTTGTTTTTCTTTTTTTAAAAAATTACCTTGGCTGTAATTTGAAACCACCAAGGGAAATTACCAAAAGTTCACTTAACTGAAGTTTCATTTATGCTAAAATCACTGTACTCAAAACACAAAAGTCTATTTTTTGTGATATCCTTAACACTATAATTTTCCACTTGGCAGAAAGGAGATGCAACTGCAGTTAAGTTTATTTTTAGTTGTGCTTCCAAGGAACCCTTTCATGTGTAATAATTAACTGGCCTTGTTTGGGTTTAGCATTTGTAAACATGCATATGCACGCACATATATTTGCACATAGACATTTTGGAAAAGGCTGAAATGGAATAGGTGGCTTCTACTTCTGCTTGAATTTTGCATCTTTCTCTACAGTTTCTTTAAAAAGTCACAGTACCCAGAAACAATTGAGTGAAATGGATTTTTTTTTCTGTCATTTGATCTGATTCTTTAATTCCTTAGTAATTTACAATCTTAGATGGAATCCTGACCATAGTTAGGCTGTATAAATACCATTCAGGTGGGTAGCCCTGAAGCAGCAGAACTCTAACACTGTTCTGCATAAATACCACTGATTTAAGAGGGGTTTAGGAAGGGGAGGGGGAGAATGTGTGGCCAGTCTGCTGATGAAGATACAATACAAGTAATGAGCCTATGGATACCTCAGCATGCCAGAGGAGCAAATCCCTATACTTAGGGAATAGCTGACTGATTTGTGCTAATAACGCTGCTATATGTCATTTATGGGGGATAAAACATAACTATGAAAATAAACGTGGAAAAGTAGAAAAGGGCCTTGAAACAAAATGAGGGTGAGACCTAGACTTCTTCAAGCCTTCCCAGAAGTTTCATAGCTGTGGGTCAATAACTTAAGAATTTATTTATATCTTGCCTTTCCTCTTGAGCAATGCTACTTTCTTGTGTGAACTTGGCAAGAAGACGGAATATATAAAAGGGCAGATTATTGGCAGATATGAATTATGAGACAGAAGGGAATAGGTGTAAATATATGTATAAAGCTTCTGAATAAGAGATTTACTGTGCCATCCTAAGTAGAGTTACATCCTTCTAAGCACACTGACTTTGATTAGAAGGATGCAGTTG